ATGGAATGAAGAAGATACAAACTGCCATGTATCGGGAGTTTGTGTAATGTCAGAGAGAGTCTTACTCTTGCTTTGGATTATTTCTTGTTATACTACAGACCAACATATTTACAATTTAAGAACTTCCTAGAGTTCTCTAGAATTTTCCACTGCTCACATCCACATAGTTTAAATTAAAATTAGTGATTTCTTTGGCACACATCAGTGATAAATCAGTAACTATTTTAGGTTTCAGGTTCTTAACTAAGGACACTTTAGCATATAGACTGGAAAAGGTAAGTCTACCTCATGAATTACAGCACAAGTATGTATTTTTTTTTTTATTAGTGGGCTATACAAACTTGTAATCAAATGTAATCAAACCTGTAGAAAATACAGAAACCATACTAAATAAAAAAATCAAATGTTTTGCTGGACTTAGTATTGTATGTTTGATTCTTTTCTGTGCTTATTGCTTAGATGGTCAAGTTGGTGTATTCCCTCCATGTTTTCAATTTTGTTTATTTAGTCTCAGTGTGTTTATTTTATTTACTCAGTGTTCCTGACTTTTCCTTCTACGTCATTCCTCTATGCTAAGATTAGTTTTGTGTCTGCGTTCTCCTGTTTCATTATTGCTTCTTGCTTCCTGTTGTATTTTGGTGCCATTTGTCATTTTTGCATTGTGTTTATGGTAAATGTATGGGTTCTTATACTCATACTTCTCTACTCTACTTGAGACCACATTAACCAGACCACATGCCTAATTAATCCATTCATACCAATTTATACAAGCGCTTTTTTCTACACCTATTGTCTTTCTATCTACATTTATACTCTGATAAAACCATTGGGGAGCAACTCGGGGTTCAGTACCTTGCCCAAGTATACTTTAGCATGCAGACTGGAGCAGCCAGATACTGCACTGCTTGTTACTGGTTTGCGATTGATAACTAAATTTTATATTTAAAAAAAGATTGTAATGAAATGAAATACAGTGGAAAATGTTTATTTCATCACTAAATATATTAATGCAGTGTATGTTTTCAATTAAAGTTTATTACAGGTTTCCAAAAGATAATCCTTATTTGGGATTTTATGGAAGTTACATTTTGACTATTATAACAATAACATTTCATCTTTCATGGATCACTCTTCCTTAATTAAAACAAGTCTCTCTTACGACTAAATGACTTCACACTGTAAAGCTCCAGAATTTTCAGCTGCCTTTTCACGACTAGAAATATATCCCAGTTGTGTTTCTGACTCAGCCTGTGTGACACTATTATATAGTTCCAATGTTAATGTCAATATTATATGAATAGAATTTATGCAAGTTTGACTTGCATAATTAGTTTAACTGAGTTTCTCTGTTGCTGTGACATGATTACAAATAGTCTTGTTTATGATCGATAGATATAAGTGTTTAGAATATGAATACCCATTACTTAGGTTACACCAATAATTTATTTTTAAAGTTTTTTTTTTTTTAAATGTCCACATTATCACAGTTTTCTGCAGAAAAAAAACACTACCCCAATGGTAAAAATTAGGACCAATCATTTAACTTGGCGGCTCTGCAGCTCTTAAAGATACATGACCAGCTGTCATAAAGTCAGTATAGTAACACATTAAAGCAGCACCTGGAGTATTTTCCATCCACCTGAGGAAGCCTGTACTGAGAACAAGCACAAGTACAATCAAAAGAAAGATACATATGCAAAAGATGTGTGAATTCTATAATATTTTAGTTTATCTGGTGACTTCTAAGACAGGTAATGAATGATGGTTTATCCTTTTCAAAAAAAAGGTGTCTGCTTATCAAAACTTCAGCACAATCCCAGAGTTGTCACAGAACTTTCAAGAGTCCTCAACACTGGATTAATGTAAACAGTTGGTGTAGATGTAGTAATAGTTTTAATAGTTTTAAGAAACAAGAACACATTAGTCAGGATATACCCTTAGTTTAAGAATATATCCTGTACCTGCAGGGTACAATGCAACTGCGTCTGGAAGCTATCCCTGTTTATCCAGTCTCCAGATGCCTCTGCTGCAATGCGCCTTAAAGTGGGTTCCTGCTCAACAGACTTCTGAGCACAATCACTGACATCAGTCATTGTTAAAAGCAAACTGCTGATGCTGTATCTGTGATGGTGAGTGTGCCTCTGCTAGTGTGAGTGCGTTCAACTGTGACAGATTGGGGTGGAGGGAGGGGCTTTGACTAGACTATCTGCTAATAAGCACAGCACAATTAATAAACAACATACTTCTGTATTTATCCAATAATGAACTCCAGTAATGACAGACTGTGTGTCTTTTACACTGCTTCCGTTCTTGTTGCATCTTAAATCATCTTGATGACAGTATGTTAATTTCTGCATTATAAGGCTACTTTACAGATTTATTCTCATAAAGTCACAATTCTGTAGGATAAGAACTTATCTGCCATTGCAGTGAGATAATTACACTTGTAAAAACTTCAAGGCAACAAAAACAAACCATGAACCCTACTCAAACCTCAAAAAGTAAAATAAAGTGCTATATAGATGTATTGTTAAAATGCTGGTGTACCTCCACTTTTGTGCTTGCTGTCTGCTCTGGATGTGGCAGGATTGATTTCACTTTTGGCCAAATAAAAGGCCAGTTTTTTGTTGGAACAATCTGCCTCTTGTGTCCTGCACCTTTACACTC